TCCCAGCCAGCATTTGTGAAATCCGTGGGCTGGGAGCTGGGGTCTGGCTCCCCTCTGCTGGGCAGGGAGACTTGCATCCCCTGGGCAGCATGGGGTGTGTCCCATCAAGGCCCCAGCCAGAGGGGTTCGAGCCCAGGCTCTCTGAGCCTCTCTTGGGTCTTGGGGGTGGCATTACCCCCTGTGAGTGGCCAGTTCAGGCTGACCATGCAGAGGGCAGGTGACCTGGAGGAGGTAGAGCACAAGGCCAGACCTAGGCTGCTTCCCAGCAGGAGGTGTCAGAGTGACAACCAGGACTGCTGTTAGTTCCCACACGGACACATCTGTCATTGCTCCACAGTGCACTGACATCGGTATGTGAGACCACCAAGGTCCTTAGACTTCAAGTTACACTATAAAAGTTATTTTATAACTTAAATCAGGGCTCAGCTAATTCTGTGTGAAGGACCCGATGGTGAATACTTTTGCCTTTGCGGGCCGTTCAGTCTCCGTTGTGGCGGCTCAGCCCAGCCTGTGTAGCATAAACACAGCTGAGGGTGAATGGGCGAGCCTATGCGCCAGTAAAACTTTATTCACAAAAACAGTCGGCGCCGTGGATCGGGCCCGCAGGCCTGACCTAAGAGAGATACCTGCTCAGTCGAGGCTTAGAAAAATAAGTAGCACAAAAATTGTTTAATCCCACCACTGAAAGAACCACAGTTGGTGTTTTGACAAATTTCCTTGTCTTTTTTTAAAGCTTTCTGCTCATCATTGGGACCTTACTGTGTTCATGACTGCATTGTGTATTTCTTCAGGTAACAGATACATTGGGAGAGTGTTTCTGTCACTGAAGCGGTCCTGTCGACCAAGCCCTGCCAGCAGCACACTGGGCCATCGTGTGTGTCTATCATTTAGTCTGCCCACGGTGGTTGAACAGTGTGGTTAGAGCTTTCTTGGCATATGTGTGTGCGTGCGTGCATGCTTTTCTTGGTAACAAAGCAGAGGAGGTCTTTGTCTGAATTTCTACCTTTGTTCAGCTTGAAGGGGGAGGCCAGGGACATGCTTGCCTGACTAGTGCGAGGACCCGTGTCATCAGAACTGCAGGCTTGTCTGCAGCATCCTTCCATGGCTGGCAGCTGGGTTTGCTCCTTCCAGAAATCTTGACCTTGCTGGGGGCCCCGTGGGGGTGGTGATGGCCTAGCCCCAGTCCTCCTCTCCTGGGGGAGTTGCGGGGGTCGGGGTTGCTGCTCCTCTGTGCAGAGACTTTAGACAATGCGTGTTCTCTCTGAGTTTGGGAAGCGCCATCAGGCACTTCCCACTGGTTAATTAAATTGGCTCTGGCAGCTCTGGTGAGGGGCACTGTTAAGGCCCTTGGACGTACGCTGTGCAGGGCTGTTAGGCCTTCTGGATGTGAAGCGCTGTCAGAGAGCCCAGTCCTGCTCAGTGCCGGGGTACCGTGGGGGGTGCCCACCAGCCCCAGCCATGTCAGGGCTCTGGGCTCTGCTCGATTGCAGGATGACATCGCCCTGGAATGGGAAAGAGACTACCGGGGCCGGGCCAAGCTCAGAGCAGTGAGACGGGAATCATGGGGCAGGGGTGAGCAGGTGGGGGGCCGAGAGCCCGAGGTGGACGGGAGGCCAGCCCCAAGGCAGGGCAGGCCTAGGGGCAGGACCCACAGAAAATGTAGTTTGTTGTGGAACAAATGTCCTTGGTAGAGGCTGGTGGCGGGACACAGGCCATGTGTTCTGAGCCCCCAGCCCGAGTTCCTTCCTCTCGTCTTTGCTCCATCTGTCCCCAGAGGGCCACCTGCCTTGGCTGGATTGCAGCAGGCCTGGCTGGCTGTCCTCAGGCAGCCCCACCCTACGCGGTTCTGGGGGTTGAGTGCTCTGCAATGGTACACAGGGCCCTGGGGCATACTCAGCCTGCAGGGGGCCGCTCAGACCTTCTTTCTCCATTTGTGCCTGATTTCTCCATCAGAAACTAACGACACGGCCAAACTCCCCCATGAGAGTGCACTCCATCTCTGTCGCAAGTACTGACGGGGGACCGCTAAGTTGGGAGCAGGAATTGAGAGCAGGCAGAAACTGTCAACTTCAGTAACTCCAGCAGATCCTTAGGAAAACACAGGTCCCAGAAGGGCTGGGAGTGACAGGGCTGGCAGCAGAAGACATGTCCAGGGCCACAGGTCATTAATGAAAACAAATAGCGAGATCTGCTCGCTGGCCTGGGTTCCATCCCCAAGCGCTGGGCTCTGAGGCCACCTGAGAATTCTGTGATGAGGCTCTGGCCTCCCCGCTCTGAGCCCCTACCCAGGCTGGCCCTGCAGCGAGGGGTAGCCCCAGGCCTGCTTGTGACCCACAAGAGAAGTCACATGTGAGGTTCCATGTGCCTCGCGGGCCTGGGTGTCGTGTGCACCTGGCACCTGCAGGTGCGGCTCCCACCGCACCAGGCGCATCAGAAGAGGCAGTGGTAGCTGTTAGTGGTGGGTCTGGCACGTTCAGCCCCAGGAGGTTGCTTTTAAGGAGAAGCTGGATCTTTTCTCTGGCCTCAGCAACTTCCTCTCCCAAGTGTTGGGCTGAAGCAAGATGATGGGTCTGTGGTGCCTGCACCCTCAGCTCAGCTCTTGGAAGTGACAGTCCTGTGTCCTAAACCTACGAGGCTGTTTCTCCTCTCCCTGCAACCCACCAAGGCCTTGCGTCCTTCCCACTGGTTCCTTCTCAGGTTCCCATGCTCCCCAGGTCGCTGCAGAACGCGTGTGGATACTTGTGTGTGAAAGGTCCTGGCTGCCATCATCCCGGCAGGGCGACCCCGGGTCCTGCCGTGCGGATGGGCTTGTCCCAGCAGCCTCTTCCTGGCCGGTGACATCAGCCTCTGGGGCAGAGGCTGTGCCAGCGGTTGGGCCAGCCTTGGCCGGGCTCAGGCCAGGCTCCAAGCCGGGTGATGTGCTCCATGGAGCGTGTCTGCGTGCCCCCTCCACGGGCATGCACAGGTGCTTTTTTTAATTACTGAAGGAAAAGTGATTGCAGAGTCGTTCAATACAAATCCCTTAAGCCGCTGTTGATGGTGACGCTGGGGAGGCCGGGCCCAGCCAGGAATCTGAAACACGGGCACCATCTGTGCTCCCACCGCTCCTCGGCCAAATGACACCGCCAGCCTTTCTCTCCTGCACAATTTTTCATTAAATGAATTGAGTTTGCTGGGAATTGCTTGGCCATAAATATTCCGTCCCGCTCATCATGGCGGGTTATTACTGTTCCCAAGTCTCTGCTCCTGGTCCTGCAGAAGGTGCCTCGTCTGCCCTGGGGAAGGGGTGGGTGGCAGGAAATTCCATGAGATAGTTTCCACTGCCCGCCCACCACCCGCAGCACCAAATTTGTGGTCATAAATACTGCAATGTTTCTAGAGTAAATCGAGGGATATTTGGAAGGGCTCATCAGGGCAGGGGAATGTGGCTCCCGAAGTCATTTAAGTCTCCCTCATTTCCATTGAGAAGGTGGTTACTTAAAACAGAAGAGCATTTTAGGCTATGCTTTTGAAAACAGGCTTTTTCTGAGCCTGTTTATTTGACAAAGTTCTGAGTGAGCTTCTGAGAGCTAGGGTTGATGGGAGGTCTGGGCCGCCCTTGTGTCCAGCCCGCATGACCCTGGACACGTGTCTCCCCAAGAGCAGACAGGACTGTGCCCTCTTCAGAGGGAGGGTTGTGGGGCTACCCAGGGTCGTGGCCACCCTGAGGCCCCCTCTGTCCTCTGCGCCCTCCCTCAACCCCTGAGCTTTCAGCTATCCATGGGGAGATTTCTAGGCTCTGCTTTATTCTCTAGAGCCTAGACCAGGAGTCTGCAAACTATGGCATGAGGGCCAAGTCCAGCCTTGCTTGTTTTTATTAGTGCGCAGCCTCGCCCATTTGTTTGCACATTGTCTGTGAGGCTTTTGAGCTACAAGGGCAGAATTGAGAGGCTGTGACAGAGACTGTGTGGCCCACACGCTGAAGACATTCACTGTGGGGCCCTTTATGGACACTGTTTGCCAGCCCTGCCCCAGGCCAGCTTTCCCCTCCTTTTTCCCTCCTTCTTGCGGTAGAATGTTTTCTCAGCCACTCTCAGCCTCATGCCAGTAGGGACAGAACAAGTGTTCTGGGGGAGGGTTTGGGGCTCAAGAGGGGCAGGTCTATACAGCAAAGGTGGAGGGTTTCATTCGTCCTCGTTGCGCATGTTTGCTGTGTGCCCAGAGCTCCTGCACACAAGGGGCCACCCTGTCCCAGGAGGCATTTGCTCGTGTTAAGTAAGGGCCCAGCTGTGCCCATCCCAGCCTTTGGCATTTCAGTGCTCGCTCTTAGCAGGCAACTTTCAGTCCCGAGTGCTGGGCCTCCAGAGCCCTGAGCTTTCTCTTCGGTAGCATTGATCTCCCTCAAGCCCTGCGAGGTAGACACTGTCAGGTGAGGCACGCAGGGCCCTCTGGCCAGCATCGCCCTTAGCGAGGCCACACGAGGAGAGTGGCCCATCACCGTCTCAATCATGCTTGCGCGTTTGCTTGTTTCTGCTCTTGGCTCTTGGGGACCGCCAACTTTTTTCCTCTTCTTGACCCTCTTGGCTTGATTGCTGTCACAAAATATTTTGAGTTCATTTGTATCTGCTTGGGGGCGTGTGTGTCTGATGGGAGGGGGTGCCCGCTGGCCTCTGGCTTCTGAGGACGGGGCGGTACACAGTTCTGGAGCCTCCTCGTGTAGAAAGGTCCGTATTCTTGTTTTCCTCGAGTTTTGCTAAGTGGTGGTTGTAACTGCTTTGCGACAGACCAGAGATTCACAGCCGGGGGGTGGGGGATGCCCAGCCTGAGAAAGGATATTCCGCAGCCTCACCTTTTACCCGGGGAAAAGAAGGTGCCGCTTCCTGTCTCTCGATGGAAGTTCTGGAGGAGGAAAGCTCAGCTAGGATGGGGTGTGGGAGGCCCGGGACCTGCTTTGGGTGGGCTCTGTCAAGCTGGCCGTCCTTGCCACGAGGTGGCTCAGGACGTCTGTCTCCCGCCCTCAGTGCACGTGCCGCAAGGACATGGTGAAGATCTCCATGGATGTGTTCGTGCGCATCCTGCAGCCCGAGCGCTACGAGCTATGGAAGCAGGGCAAGGACCTCACCGTGCTCGACCACACGCGGCCCACGGCCCTCAGCAGCCCCGAGCTGAGCTCCTGGAGCGCCTCCCGCACCTCGCTGAAGGCCAAGCTCCTCCGCAGGTGAGTCCCGCCCACAGGGGCTGCAGTTGGGACTGGCAGCTCCAGCGTCCCTCCCTCCCTGTCCCCATCTCGCCGCTTCTGTTTCTCCTTGCTTCTGAGTTAAAGTGTGTTTCTGAGGCCTCGACTTTCTCTAAGTCAGTGGGTGCCACTCGAGGCAGGAGGTGTCTGTGTTGCCCAGAGACGTGCTCCTTCACCCTGCCCGTCGCCCCACCTTCCCTGAGGCTGACCCTTGGGCTACCAGGGGCCATTTGCCCAGAGCTTCCCAGGCTGGCAGGAGCAGCCCTCTGGCCACTCAGTTTCTTCTCTGGGGACAACTGTGGTATCCCTCTTGTTTCTACCCCAGCCTCTGGGTGTGAGAGCCCCGTCTGCTGTCAGGGCTGCTCAGGACCCTCATGGCTCTGAGAGATGGCAGGTCCACTGTGAGGACTCAGGACACCAGGTGGGCCATGGAGGCCCTTTCCTATTGCATCTGCAGTTGCTGATTTTTGTAAATATGCAACTTTTTGGAATTCAAGATTGGGAGGAGATCGCTGAGACCCCATCCCCAAGAAGTGTCCCCATTCCATCCCAGAATCCCTCACCACAAATCCGAGGGCCCCTCCACTGTGCAGACCCCCAGCCCCCACCCACCACGACAGTGTGGTCTCTCCCAGCTGTGCGTCTGGTGTCCAGCAGGGGCATAGCAGTGGCACCCTCTCAGCTTGTGGCCATGGGAACATGGGTGGCAGGTCTCAGCCAAGAAGGAAGTGAACTCCATACCCAGAGCCAGAAAGTATCACGCAGGCAACACCAGCACCTACAGCCTCACAAGCTCATTCTCTGGGAAGTGCCCACACTTCCATGCGGCTCATGGATGCATCTATCAACAGAGTTCATCACTTCCTGGTGCCCACGGAGCATTCAGCAGCCTGGAGTGTGAGCTGGAGCAGCTGGGACAGTAAAGTCAGGCCTGGCCAGCTTTTTCCATAAAGGGCCAGAGAGTATAAACATTTCAGACTTTGCCACATTGCGGGCCAGACTCAGGCTGCTGTAGACAGTAGACATTTAGTGAACATCGCACGTGGCTGTGTCCCAGTAGCACTTTGTTCACGGACACTGAAATTTGGATCACATATAATTTTCATATGCCACAAAATATGATTCTTTTTCTGTTTGGAGCCATTTAAAAATGTGAACACTGTTGTTATGTAGACAGTAGACATTTAGTGAACATCGCACGTGGCTGTGTCCCAGTAGCACTTTGTTCACGGACACTGAAATTTGGATCACATATAATTTTCACATGCCACAAAATATGATTCTTTTTCTGTTTGGAGCCATTTAAAAATGTGAACACTGTTGTTAGCCTGTGGGCGGTAGCAAAGCAGACAGCAGATGGGTCTGGTCTTTGGGGGTGGCCCTGGTGTGGAGGGCAGCCTCCCCTTTGAAGAGTGGCTTCTCCACCTGCAGCCACTCAGTCACTTCTGGCTCCATCTCATCCCAGCTGGCGATGGACAGTACCCACCCAGGGCCGGGCCACTGAGCAGCAAGGTGGGGGTGGCTTGGCCAGTTCATTTTCATAGTGCTGCCCGATCGGGTGGCACCTCCTGTGCTCTGCAGAAATAGGCCTTGGCCTTGTGCAAAGTCACACCTGGTCCGGAACCTTCTCCCCTGGCTGTGTTACCCTCGGCTTCATCACGTCCATGTGTCTGTAAGTCTGTGAATCCTGGATGGTCTCAAACTTGTCCACGTCTGCTTTCCCCACCCCCAGTCCCCTCTCTTGGAGAATGCCCCCCAGCTCCGGAATGTTTCCACAGCTCTTCCTGACAGCCGCACGAAGGTGAGGCTCTCTTTTCTGGTTCCTTTTGTTGTCTGCCCTTTGATTTCCTGCTCTCCTGCGTGTTCCACATGAAAAGTGACTTCATGGCGAGGCTGCTTTGCTCCCAAGCTCAGAGCCAGTGCAAACGCTCCAGGCCTAGACATGCTATTTGCATAATGGTTAATTGATTGTGGCTCAGGCTAATTGGTCAACAGAGTGGATTGCCAATAAACAGGCACCACATTCCAGGATGGAGGGATTAGAGGCTGTCCAAAGAGCCTGCCAAGAGGAGAAGCAGACCTGGCCGCTGCGTGCACCTCTGCACAGAGCCACCTTTGCAAAGAAGTGGATTCCAGCACTAAAGCCCTGTGGGCCTGGCCTCCCTGCCCGGCAGCCCCAGCACACCACAAGCCCCCAGTCATGAACTGTTCCTTTCTGGAGCATTCCTTCCTCCCCCTCTCTCGCTGCCATCCTGGGGATCTGCAATGGTACTGAATAACAAATTATGTAGTGTTCCCAAGGATATAATTTTCTTTAAGGCCGTTAGGATGTAAAACAAGCTGATTCTTTTTTTTTTTTTTTTTTGATCATGGGGGTGCTTTCCTCTGATAAGTCTGATTGGTGACTCATGTTTAAAAGCCTGATGCCCCCTCCCTCTGCCCCACAGGCTGGGGTGGAGGCAGCTGAATCTCAGAGGTGCTTTGTACTGATCTGTGGCCTGGCCTGGCAACCTCTCCAAGAGGGGGGGGTCCTGTCCTCCCTCCCAGCTGTTCCCTATTTTCATAGTTGGGCTCCTCTGAGCTTCAGAGGGCTTATTTTGGGGTTGGAGGTAGCATAGTCTGACCATCCTTGGCTCAGGTTGGATTTGGGGGGAACTCTGTGAATCTGGCTCTGTCCACCTCAACCAGAGACCTGTGGACATGTGGGGCCAGGTCACTCTCTGTGGTGGGGCTGTCCTGGGCAGTCTAGGGTGTTGAGCAGCATCCCTGGCAGTGAATTGACCCCCGGCCCCTTTAGGGGCTCTTAGTATTTTTCTCCATGATAAGTAGGACACATGAAACCACACCTTGGCTCCTGGTGAGGCCCCGCCCTGACCCTTGCCACCCCGGGCAGACACCATGCATCTGGAGCTCTGCCCGGGATGGTGCCTTCGCCATGCTCCTCCTGAAGCAGACTTTCCATCTCATCTCCTGGTTACTTCCAATGAGAGCTTCGAGAAACTCCGTCTGCCACATGCTCCAGCAGGTGCGCGCCCTGCTGGCCTCGCACGCACCCTGCAGAGCATCTGTGCTCCCTGTCTTAGCTGCCTGGCACAGTAGGTGCAGGGAGGGAGACGGGGACACGCATCCTGCCCCAGCCTCTGCAGGGGGAGGCTGCTCTCCTGCCATCAGCCAGGCCTGGCATGGTCCCCACCCTGCAGCTCCCATGTGGCACCCCAGCCACCCTCGGACACCCAGGCTGAAAGATGAGGTGCAGCCTATTCTACCTGCTGCTGCGCAAGGCCTGGAGGCAAGCAGCCTCCTGAACCTGCAGCCAGGGCTCTGCCTGCCAGCTGGCAGCTATAACAGCCCCAAGCTCTCTGCATAGTGAGAAACCTGACAGAACCAGGGGGCCGTCCACACCTCCTCCTGCCATCTGAGGTCCAAGGGATACCTGCTTCCATCTTGAAAATATTTGTGTAGTTTTTTGGACCAAGTCTCAACATTTGGTTTGTATAAATTAACCAAGTGGCATTCAGTTGAGCCTGGCAGACAAAGTGCATGGTTAACTCTGCTCTCTCCTGAAACACCACTGAACGTAAGGAGGGACAGAGAGTGGCAGAGAGGATGGCAGCTGCTGAGCAGTCAACAGACTGGAGTGGAGGAGAGGATGACAAGTGCTGCCTGACTGTGCAGCACAGAGACACCCCGGGTCCCGGGCCTGCAGATGGGGGGAAAGCTGGGAGGGGTGGGCTGGGGCATGCCGCAGGGCTCCAGAAAGGTCTGAGGTTCAAGACACAGGCACCTCCTGGGAAAGGGGCCACCACAGGCTGGAAGGAGGAGGAATCCTGGACAGGCGTGTGAGGAACTGCTGGGCCCAGGTGCCTGCCCTAGCACTCCCTGTAGCTAGGGGCTGTCCCCCACACCACCCCATCTCCCAGCAGAAGATGATGGCAGCTCTGTGCCTGGTGAGGTCAAGCTTGGGCGGTCCTGGGCATGCCCTGACCATGGAAGCATAGCTGCCAGCCCAACTCCCCCTACCCCCAAGGCCTAAAAGGAAAATTGGAGGGGAGAGGGTCTCCTGGGTAACAGAGTGGCTACAGATCCTGACCTCAGGCATCCTTGTAGAGTGGCAGGGCTCCCTCCCACAAGGCCTGCTCGCACACACAGCGACCAAGTGTCTCAGTGCTTCACACAAGGGGATAAACAGCCAGGGGTCCCAAAACAGCCGAGGAAACTCTGATGGGAATCACAGGGTCTAGGACAGAACTCCGAAGAAAGAGAAAACTCAGTGAGCACAGCAAAGCAGAAAGTTGTCCTCGGAACAGGGGTCTGACTTTGTGCTTAGGAAGGAAGAGCCTGTTGCAGTAAAAGAAGAAACATGGAGGGAAGAGATGGCTCTTGCACGTTGAAGATGACAGCAAAGAGAACATAAGAGATGGGTGGGAGACAGCTCGAGGAAGTCCCTCCTACAGTATGGAACAGAAGGACCAAACTGGAAAATAGCAAAGGTGGGAAAGTTGGAGATTCAGTCCAAGAAAGCCAACCTCTAATAGGAACTTCAAAGAAGGAGAAAAGAACGGCCGGCCCATGGCTCACTTGGGAGAGCGTGGTGCTGACAACACCAACTCAAGGGTTAAGATCCCCTTACCGGTCATCTTTAAAAAAAAAAAAAGAAAAAAAGGGGGAAAAAAAAAGGAGAAAAGAAAAACTTTCTAGGACCCAGAGACTTTGCACTTCCAGGTTAAAAGAAAAGAAGGGGAAAAAAAAAAAGGAGAAAAGAAAAACTTTCTAGGACCCAGAGACTTTGCACTTCCAGGTTAAAAAGTCTGGCACTGAGGGTGGAAATTATCCACACCAAGGCACATCACTGTGAAGTTTCACAACTCTTGGGTTAAACTGAAGATCTCAAAGCTTCCAGAGTGAATGAATAATTCAATATAAAGAACAAGGGACCCTGCTGGCATCAAACTTATGACCAGAATGCTGTAAGCTAATAGACAAGGAGTAAGACCTTCAAAAGTCAGAAGAGGAATCATTCTCCTCCTGGAAACATGTACCTAGCCAAACTACCAATTAAATGTAGGAGGGGAATAAAGAGCTGAGATATGCAAAGTTTCAGATTTCACCTTCTTTCTAGGAAGCTACTGAAGAATGTGCTCCAGCTAAACAAGGGTGTAAACCAAGAAAACCTTGGATGCAGACAACTGATCTAACCCAGGAGGGTCAAAGGGGGAATTTAGGAGAATGGGAGCATCCTATGCTGCATGACCTAGAGTTGAAACAGAGGTCCTCAGGGCTGTCACTGAGCAATAGGTGACACCCTGCATAGGAGACCACAGCAGGTTTCAGAGCCAAGTCACAGAGCTCAGAGATACCAAGAAAACTAAGCATCCAAAAAAAGGGGAGCCAGTTACCCCAGGAAGAGTGAGCAGAGATAGCAACCCCAGTCGCTCCATTACTCGTGGACAAGCCATATTTATAGTCATAAAAATGGAAATATGGCACATCACCACAACTGAAGGTGGTGGATGCGGGGAGCAGAGCAGCGGGCATGGAGGTGGGTGAGTGCAGCCACACCCTCTGCGTCGTGGAAGAAGCCGGGACCCAACAGTGAAACAGCAGATTGGGGAGACACATGGAGCCAAATGGAGACCTCAAGTCAGGGAGGGCCTGGAGAGCAGGAGGGGACACTGTTAGGATCCCATGACAACTAGGATGCCCCTCCCACCCATTTTGTGGACTCATTGGCACAAACTCCCCAGCATCGCCTTCCCAGCTTATGTTTTCTCCAGATGTGTTTTCCTTCACAAGCTTGGTGCAGCCTGCTCGCCCTGCTGTGCCGTGGCGTGGTCATCTCAGCATGTCTGCCTGTGCCCCTGGTTCCACCCAGTTCTCTGTGGCACAGGCATCACACAGGGCGAGGCCCCCAGAGCCCCGAGCCCAGCGTTTGGGGCAGGGGCTGGGCTCTCGGGAGCAGATGGTGTGGCTTGAGGGCCACCCTTGGGGAGGCCCTGGGCAGCTGTGGGAGGGGCGGGCAGGGTCAGAATGGCCTCTAGGGCTGGTTCCAGGGTGAGGGCATGGGGTTGGGGGGTGTGGACCACGACTGGGTAAGAGGAGGGGCTGAGAAGCTCCTGTTGGAAACTGAGGCCAGGTAGGTTGGCAGGAGGAGGCCACCCTTCCATGGGTGCTGCCTGGGGCCAGGGTTGGGGGTTACGGTGGGATCCCAGCCCTGCAGCCCCAAGGCATTCCCAGACCTGGACAGAATCCCCCCTCTGGGTGACAGTTGGTGACAAAAGCCAGCTGCACTCCAGTGCTGGTCCCAGAGCTTTCCACACCTGGGCCCAATGTCTCCAAGTAGGGGAGGACACCCTCAGCACCCAAGCAGAGCCCAAGACTGCCTGACGGGTACAGAATGTTCCCCAGGGAGGTGGGGGCTGGCTTTGTGTGCCCCTCCCCCTCCTTGCACTACCCCTGCCCGCCCAGCCCCCGCGTGCCATGCCGTGTGTGATGCCATGCCTGCCTCGCCATGCTGTCCTCGCCTGGTGCCCCTGCTTCTGCCCTGGTCATCTCGTGGTACTTCATGCTGTAGACATTGAGCGGGGCTTGTCATATGCGGGCAGCAGCAGTGAGCTTGGGCCCCTTGCAGGAGCACTGAGGTCCATTTCTAGCCAGTTAGGCAGCCAAGGGACAAGGAGGCCTAGCTGTGATCAGGGTTCTGGGGACGGGATGATAAAGGAGGTGTGGTCTGGTGAGGCCTCAGAGGAGGTATAGCGGATGGGCTGGGGTGGGGAAGTGGTCAGGTCCCCATGTCCCGGGGGCAGCCTGGGCTGCTCAGGTGGGAGACAGGGGCTCCTGGTGTCAGAGGCCCTTTAGGGCCCCTACCCCACCCCACCCTCTGTCAGTGCCCCTGCCCTGCCTTGGCAAGTGCTTGGTCCTTGGAGGTACAGCTGCCACAGGGACCTCCCCTAGGGTTGAGGTGTCTGATTCTGACCCCGCAGGGCAGGGGACATGGGAGGCAGATGGGAAGACACAGCCAGTGCCCGTTTCTTCAACACTGGTGCTCCCAGCTCTTTTGGCTGCTGAGGGGTTTTACATAGTTGAATCATAACTAGGGAGGGTAGGAAAGGCCAGTGGGGAGCTGGGTCACGGGCCCTGGAGCTCGTGACCACATAGGGAGGCATGGGGACAGCCATGGGGGCACACAGGGCATTGCCCCCACCCGCTTCTGCCTGAGCCCCTGGGGAAAGCAACATGCCCTTGTCAACCTAAAAGCAGCTTTTGCTCCCAACTTGGAAGAGCCCAAGAGGTCCCCAGGGGCCGGGTGGGGAGGCCTGGCTGCTAGCCTGCAGGCTCACTGGCTTTCTCACCGTTGCTTTCTTCCTTTTTACCCGCTCTCTGGCTCATTTTTGCTAATAAGTCTTAGCTCAGTCAAGCTGCAGGCCTCGGGCTGAATCACTTGCTTGGGACCAGCCTACAGGGAAATGGGAGCCTTCTCTGCTGTCCCCGGGATGATGGCACGTCCCTGTGCCTAGGCTGGGTGTGAGGATGTTCCTGCCTTCTGGCCCAGGCTTTCCCTGCAGCAGATGTTGGGCAGGGGGCATGGAGAGGGCCCAGGCAGACTTCAGGGTGTCAGCACAAGTTAGAGAAGCCATGCCTGAGCCTGGAGCTCCTGTGTGTGTCTTGGGGCTGTAGACAGAGAATCCAGGGAGCCGGGGACGGAGCCAGGTGCCCAAGATGAGGCCCTGAGATGACACATCCTGGGGATTGAACAGACGTCCTAGAGAAAAACTCCCTGAAATTTACATTCTAGACAAATTAGTCTGAAAGAAAACAGACACTGGAAAAAGACTGAGGAGGAGAGAAAACCAAATCTAGAAAGGAAGAAAGAGCAGACCAAAAAGCCGGGGCTGTCGTAAGTTCATTTCTGTTCGTTCGTTGTCCAGGCGTTGTACGTCAGCTGCTGTTTCCATCGGAGCTACGCTCCATGTGTCTCCCGCCCCCTCCTGGAGCCCGGGGTCCCTGTCCCACCATCCATCGGTGTCAGTCGGCTTCCCATCTCCAGCTGTCATCAGCAACCGCCCTCCCGTTGCCCCTTAGGTCTCTCCTCCTTCCGCAGCCCAACCCCACTAGGGCCCCCTTGCCCCTGCGTCTGGAGCCAGCGTGGCTGCCAGCCTGAGGGACACTCGTTTGGGGTAGGGTGGGGACTCTGTTGTGCCCAACAGAGTGCACAGTTGGGGTCCCCTTCCTCTGCTGTCTCCCCTCCTGCCTGACAAATCTCCCTCTCCAGGTCTCACCGGAAACGGAGCCAGCCCAAGAAGCCCAAGCCCGAAGACCTCAAGTCACCAGGGGAGGGGGCGGCTGGGATGGCCCTCCTGGAAGAGGCTGGGGGCAGTGTGAAGGAGGAGGCCGGGCAGGAGGCGGACCCCGAGGAGGAGGAGGAGGAGCCGCAGCCGCTGCTGCAGGGCCGGGAGGCTGAGGGCACAGAAGGTCAGTTCCGGCCCCATTCAATGTCTCCTGGAAAGAGCCAGCACTTGCTGCACCAGAGTCCCTGCTTTTTAAGATTTGATTTAATTGCTTTCTCGCCAGGATGGGGCATTTTGTAAAAATAGACATTCTGGGGTGAATGCCCAAAAAGTGCCTCTTCCCCCAGCAACAGGAAGAGAGGTTCTGTGAGGCACAGCCTGCTGCTCATGGCCCAGACACTGGCCATGCCTGCCATGGGGATGGCCCACTCAAACAGGGCACCTGTCCTGGCCTGGTCGGGTGCTGGCCTGTGCGCAGGTCTCTCTCCTGGCCTCCCCCTCTCCGGGCCATACGTATTTCCAGGGCCAGCAAGGCAGGGTGTGGTGTTCGTCAGGGTAAACCTGGGGAGGGGGGCTCAGAGACATCTCCTCTATGCCATGGGGGATCCTTTTAGTTGCGAAAGAGTAATAGTACGTATTTCCAGGGCCAGCAAGGCAGGGTGTGGTGTTCGTCAGGGTGAACCTGGGGTGGGGGGCTCAGAGACATCTCCTCTATGCCATGGGGGATCCTTTTAGTTGCGAAAGAGTAATAGTCTGTTTTTCATCACTCATAACAATACCTGAAACTGGATAATTTATAAAGAATTGGCTGGGAAGTGCAAGGTCAAGGTGCGCATCTGGTGAGGGCCTTCCTCCTGGTGGGGAGTCTCTGCAGAGTCCTGAGGCGACCTAGCATGTCACATGGTGAGGACGGGGAAGAGCGCTTTCGTGTCTTCTCCTTATAAAGCCACCAGTCCTCACCTGTGATAACCCACTAATCCACTACCTATTAATGGATTAACCCATTCATGAGTGCAGGGCCTTCACGATCCAGTCATCTCCCAGAGGCCCCACCTTTCAACACTGCTATACTGGGGATCAGCCTCCCACAGGAGCTTTGGAGGGGACAGACATTCAGCCTATGTCAGGAATAATCAATCCGTGAGTGGTTTAAGTGCCCTCAGTGTTGTGAGGGATCCTTTTTCTTTTCTGTGACTGGGTTTCATTTTCCTCATTTACAGCTTCAGCTTCTCATGCATTTGCACATGGTGGCTGCTCCCTAGGTAGAAAGGATGGGGGTACCTATCCCTCCCTGGCCCTTTCCAGGTGTGGGACAGCGGGTAGGGGGTGGGGGATGTGGGTCACGTTGACAGCCCATCTCTCAGCCATGGGCTGCCCCTGGCCATGGTGCCATATTTACCCAGAGGGTCCTGCTTGGGTCCTCAGTCTCTCTCTTTATAAGCCCAACACAACCCTGTCTGGCTCAGAGTTGTTGCCTCATCGGGGTGTCCTGGTGTCAGATGATGTGTCATTCAAGTGACTGTCCGTGGGATAGGCAGAGACACGGCTGTGGTGTTGCTCAGCAGAGGTGCAGGCTCTGCCCACTCACGTGCCCTGGGGCTGGTGCCAAGGGTCACAGGTAGGGAGCAACTGTCACCCTCAGGCAGGAAGTGCAAGAGTTCCTGAGGAACAGTCACAGGTACTCACAAGGCAGAGAGCAGAAGCCACCTGTGAACTTGCCACTGGGATGCAGGTGGGGCATCAGGCCCTGTGTCTGTTCAGCAAGACAAAGAAAAGGCAGCACAGCTAGAAAGTAAAACAGTCGTAATGGCATTCTTTGCATGTGGACACGATTATCCATGTAAGAGAAGCTGATGATCTGTGGACAGAGCCATGGGAGTGATTCAGGGATAGAGCAGAGGTGCCGGAGACAAGCTCGTGAGGCAGGAGCCACAGCATGTTTCTCATGCACGAGCCTGTCACAGTGGAATTTTCAAAATGATACCATCAACAGTGAGAGCAACCAGAAAAGAAAGTACCTTGGAATACGTCTAACACAAAAATAAAATATTTTTATGGGGAAAATTAGAGACTTTTTTGAAAGACAAAGAATTGCTAAATAAATAGAGCATTGTACCAGGTGTTAGGAGAACTGCCTAATGAACAGATGCAGTTTCCTCCCAAATTGTCTGCAGCTGCAGCACAGCTCCACTCAGGATCCCAGCGTGGCAGCGGGCAGCAGTGATGTCAACAGTGTGCAGGGCCTGAGCAAGGGTCCAGGAACAGGCCCTGGAGCAGCGGACAATTGACATGTCCTACTGTCCGTCACGACCACAACCGTGGTGGGTTAAAATGGCACAGGTTTACTTTGTTACCATTCTGGAGGTCAGAAGTCTGAAATTAGTCTTACAGGGCTGAATCAAGGTGTGTGCAGGACTGGTTCCTCTGGAGGCTACAGGGGAGGACCCATGTCCTCCTTCCCAGCTTCCAGAGGCTCCTGCAGCCCTCGGCACGTGGCCCCTTCCTCCATCTGCAAAGCCAGCAGTGCGGCGTCTTCCAGTCTCTCTGCCTCTGACTCTCCTGCCTCCCCCGTGATGACACTGACCCCCCAGATAACCCTGGATGATTTCCCATCTCAAGGTCCTCAGCTTCATCCCATCTGCAGAGTCTCTTCTGCCATATGAGGCGACATATCCATAGGTCCTAGGGATGAGGACAGGGACATCTTTGGAGGGTCTGTTACTCTGCCTCCTTAAGAATTTGCTTTCAAAGACAGAACTAAAAATTTTTAAGCACAAAGTAGGAAAATATCTTTATAACCTTAGGCAAGAGTAATTTTTCATTAAAAAGCGCAAACTAGAAAGATAAAGATTGACAGACATGATTACTCTGAGGAACTGCTGTTTATCAGAAGATGAAACTTTAAGAAAGCAGAACAACAGGCTGACAAATGAGAACGATCTTTGTAGCCCCTGTAAGTCACCAAGAACAGATAAAGAGCTCCGAACCAATGAGGAGCTCAGCCAAGTGAGAAACGGGCCACAGAGAAGGAGACAGCATGGGCAGTAAACCCGGCAGCACTCGGCGTGAGAAGCTCAGTGCGATGGAGGAGTGTGGCCCGCCGAGCGCTGGTGGCCGCGCACCACGGCCGGCCCTACTCCCAGCTGCCTGGACAGGAATCTGTGTGGCTTCTCTGGAGACCGACTTGGCCTCATCCTGCAAAGTTGGATGTTCAAAAACTTCACACATGCCCTGGAGAGACTCTTGCTCAGGATGGTCAAGAGCAGGAATGGTGACAAGCAAACAAACAAATGTCCACTGACGGGAAAGGGACAAGAGAGTAGCGCCACTGACACCCTCCTCACTGTGGGGGAGTGAGCAATGAAGACACCGCTCTGCACCCCAGGGGACTCTCCCCCGTAACCTTGCATGTCACCGGAGCATTCCGACCACGTCATATTTATTTAAAGTTAGNAAAAACTTCACACATGCCCTGGAGAGACTCTTGCTCAGGATGGTCAAGAGCAGGAATGGTGACAAGCAAACAAACAAATGTCCACTGACGGGAAAGGGACAAGAGAGTAGCGCCACTGACACCCTCCTCACTGTGGGGGAGTGAGCAATGAAGACACCGCTCTGCACCCCAGGGGACTCTCCCCCGTAACCTTGCATGTCACCGGAGCATTCCGACCACGTCATATTTATTTAAAGTTAGGAAAACAGGACCAACTGGATATGGGATTATTCAGGGAGTGTGTGAGTCTCCTAGGACTTCTGTAACGAGGGTGGCTTAAATGACAGAATGTATACTCTCGCACTCTGGAGGCTGGAAGTTTAAGCTGAGCTGTCTGCAGGGCTGCAGGGGAATCCGTTTCAGGCCTCTCCCCGGTGTCTCCATGCAGATAGATGCGACACTCTCCCTGTGTGTCTGCCCCCACCCCAATTTCCCTCATTTGGATCAGGGCCCACGCTAATGACCTCACCTTAACTAATTACATCTGCAGTGACCCTATTTCCAGAAAAGGTCAACTTCTGAGTCCTGGGGTTTAGGATTTCAATGTATGAATTGGGGGGAGGGCCATGGTTCAACCACAGCAGGCACAGAACATGCTGAAGCAGAGTGAGGGGCTTCTGAACACTGGGCTGCCTGCGGGGTGGGGAGGGCACGTGAGTGCTCCTTCCACTGTGATCCTTTAGGCCCTATGTCTACACTGCACGTACCTGGGCCGTGCGATACACTCAAGGGCAAATGCATGCCCCATCCTCAGGTGGTCTGAGCTTGGGGTGCACTGGGTAAATTATGCATTCTTATAGGTGGGCTCCAGTAATGAGGAAGCATTTGATTTTGGTTCTGAAGGACATGGGACCCCAGGAGACCTGAGTAGCAGAGAGTGGCATGGACAGTTGGGGTTCTGGCCTGAGGAATTGGGGGACTTAGTGGGGTGTCCCTGGAGGGACCGACAAGGGGCAAGCAGAGATGGCCGGAGCAGTGACCATTGCCCCCAG